ACGCAGCAGTCTAGCAGAAGCAAAGCCTGTAGGCACAGCGCAAACGAACGCACCAGGTAGCTCTGCCGCCAGACGAAGCAGACGACGCAAGAACGCGAGGCATGACGACACGCGTACAAGCTGATGACGAAGAAAATGCGAGTATTTCCCAAAGCCGAAGACGAAGGCGACGCGAGACACTAGGGTTCGCCATGAGGCGAAACCCTAGCAAAGCAGAACGATATGTTTTTTTTTCTATATATATATATATATATATATATAAACCCCAGGGTGAGCTCTCCATTGAAGATTCATAAATAGTTTAGATGGGACGAACACTGACAATGAATGACAAGTTTATAGTAATATAGAAGAAAATTACAGTAATATAGAAGAAAATAAAGCAATATGCATGTCAGTAAAATTTTTAATTAATCAATAAAAATATTTGATATTATACAAAGAACTTTATAAATTTCATTAATATATTAATATTATTATATATATGTACAACTGTTACATAAGTAGGGTCTAAAAATTGTGTCAATCAAGATACATTAATATCAATATTTTTTTCTATATACATGCACAGGTATCTTAGTGTTCCACCACTAGTATCATGAGTGACTTATCATAATCATTTATGCACATACAAACAGTCTATATAAACATATTATTAATATATTCATCAAATTTAACTCAATATACTATATAAAGCATATACCAAATGCATGAATAAATAACAACAAAAATTCATAATAATATAACCGATAAAGAAAAAAATATCTCGATCAGAATAAAGCATATAAAATGTCATTAACCTTAAAATATATAAGAAGCAAATTATTATTATAGAATAAAAGTATGGGTAATCAACTCAATGTTGGTTAATTTGTGCTTGAATTTGTCTTGATGTCAACTCTTCTAAATTAGAAACATAAAATAAATATGATTTTTAATTAATTTATTATTTTAATAAACTATTACATTTTCATTAATTAAGCATTAAATTACTTCATCTAATCATTCTTAATTTTTTATTCAATTAATATATATATATATATATATATATATATATAATTATTATTATTAAGTTTTAATTTTAATTCGGTTTAATAAATATTATCTCGGTCGAAACCTATACCATGTGACTCTGTCTCTCCTTCCTTCCCCGAAAAGCTTCTTCGATCGCACGAGTCTTCAACTCCGTTCGGGTCGACGTTGTCGCTGCCCTAACCACCGCATCGTCCTCCTTTCCTTTGCACGCCGCTCGACTACCAATTAATCAATCTCACAGTTGCTTTCCTTAAACACGTCCTTTTATAAGGTGAAAGTAATCTCTTGACTTTCGACCTTCTCGCTTCCCCTCTGTTCAGTTTCCCGACACTTCGTTTCAACTTCCAGGCACCTCGCTTCATCTCCTTTATGCTCAACTCTTCGATTCCTCTCGCCTTCCTACGATTCCTCTTCCCCCATAACTAAAACGAAACTATTATATTAACTAAGATGGGTACAGACAGTCAGATAAGGGAATTAAATTTTCTATAACATTTTAATAAATGAAAGAGCCATCATATAAAAATTAATGTAATACAATAAAATTTATCTCATTTCGGTTGTTTGGGTCTTTATACGTGTTCTCTTCTATTGCTCATCTTTTAATTAATTAATTTAACCTGAAAATTTTGGTTAAACTAATAACGAGATGATCATAACAAATAAATACTCATACCCCTAAACTATAGTAGTACAATAAAAAAAATAATGTGCGGCCAGTTAAACTTTTAATAAATCTTTATAAAACATTTGATATTATATGAATATGATCATCACAATAATTCAAAATATTCAAAGTGTTTTATTATAACATATCTATATCATTTGATATATATATATAATCATCACAGAAGTAGCGTTTAACATTGTATCGTTTAAGACACTTCAATATCAATATTTTTTTCTTTTAAGTGCATGGGTACCTTAGCATTACCCTACTATTACAATAAGGAAACGACTCTATTATAGACAAACATACATACGTAAGCAAACAAAAAAGTAAATTGCATTCTTATTTTCTTTTCATAATATGCAGTATATAATATAATAACCTGAGTTATGCATTTGATGGATAATGCAAAAATCAACAAACATCAAAAAAATTGTAGGTTTTAGGTACTTGTTAGGTGTGATTTTTATTTTTGACAATTACATGAAGCATCAACGACATAAATTTCACAATATTACATATATTTCACAATATGTTAATGACAACGAGCTTAGAATATCCATAAATTATGTTCTTATCAAATACAATGAAATTCAACATTTCCTTGAGTATGATGATTCACGATGTACTTAAGGGGTTGTTTAGTTTGTTGAAAATGAAATGCTATGTAAAAGGTTTGCAGATTACTATGATTACAATGTAATTGAAATACTTTCGAGTTGTTTCGCTCACTGTAAAATAATCGTACGACTTTATATTTGTTGTTTGTTTTGAAGTAGAAATAATGTATTTCAAAATATAGATCTTTTCCTTGATGAGAAGAGGGGGCAACATCGATGGGCTTGTGGGCGGAGCTCGGACGACCTCCGCCAACGGTGGGCTATGGTTGGTGCAGTGGACGGACTGATGGCGGCTGAGGTGTTGGCGGCTGGCGGCTGACGGCTGACGGCTGACGGCTGGCGGCTGGC